AAGGGGGGATACTCAGAGAAGGGGAATCCCGGGCGGGGTGGGGGGTCCCTGGGGGATGAGGGATCATCGGGGATTGGGGATCCATGGGGGGGGATGAGAGATCCCAGGGAATGAGGGGTCTCCAGAGAGGTGGGATTCCCGGGGATGGAGAATCTCTGGGGAATTTGGGATCATCGGGGAGATGTGGGACCCCTGCAGAATTTGGGATCATTGGGGAGATGTGGGACCCCTGCGGAATTTGGGATCATCGGGGAGATGTGGGACCCCTGCGGAATTTGGGATCATCGGGGAGATGTGGGACCCCTGCGGAATTTGGGGTCCCTGGTGATGTGAGACCCCCGGGGAAATGTGGGACCCCTGGGGAATTTGGGATCCCGGGGGATGGAGGATTCTGGGGGCTGTGGAATCCCTGGTGATGTAGGACCCCGAGAGATGTGGGACTCCTGGGGAATTTGGGATCCCTGGTGATGTGAGACCTCCGGAGAGATGTGGGACCCCCAGTGAATTTGGGACCCCCGGAGAGATGTGGGACCCCCAGAGAATTTGGGATCCCCGGGGTGGTGTGGGACCCCCGGTGAATTTGGGACCATCGGGGAGGTGTGGGACCCCCGGTGAATTTGGGATCCCCGGGGATGAAGGCTCCTGGGGGCTGTGGGATCTCTGGTGATGTGAGACCCCCGGGGAAATGTGGGACCCCTGGGGAATTTGGGATCCCGGGGGATGGAGGATTCTGGGGCCTGTGGGACCCCTGCGGAATTTGGGGTCCCTGGTGATGTGAGACCTCCGGAGAGATGTGGGACCCCCAGTGAATTTGGGACCCCCGGAGAGATGTGGGACCCCCAGAGAATTTGGGATCCCCGGGGTAGTGTGGGACCCCCGGTGAATTTGGGACCATCGGGGAGGTGTGGGACCCCCGGTGAATTTGGGATCTCCGGGGATGAAGGCTCCTGGGGGCTCTGGGATCTCTGGTGATGTGAGACCCCCAGGAAGATGTGGGACCCCTGGGGATGAAGGCTCCTGGGGGCTGTGGGATCTCTGGTGATGTGAGACCCCCGGGGAAATGTGGGACCCCTGGGGAATTTGGGATCCCGGGGGATGGAGGATTCTGGGGGCTGTGGAATCCCTGGTGATGTAGGACCCCGAGAGATGTGGGACTCCTGGGGAATTTGGGATCCCTGGTGATGTGAGACCTCCGGAGAGATGTGGGACCCCCAGTGAATTTGGGACCCCCGGAGAGATGTGGGACCCCCAGAGAATTTGGGATCCCCGGGGAGGTGTGGGACCCCCGGTGAATTTGGGATCCCCGGGGATGAAGGCTCCTGGGGGCTGTGGGATCTCTGGTGATGTGAGACCCCCGGGGAGATGTGGGACCCCCCGTGAATTTGGGACCCCCGGGGACGGAGGATCCCGGGGCCTGCGGGACCCCCGAGGGGGCCGATCCGAATTCCCGCGCCTTGGGGGCGGGGCCACGGCTGCTGGGCGGAGCCTGTCGATAACTCCGCCCCTTTCCATAAAAGGCGCCCCCGCCTCTCCCTCCCCCGCCTCTCCCGCCATCCCCGGCGCGTAGCGTCCCTCCGGTTACCACAGCAACGCGGGCGCGCGGGCGCAGGACGATGACGCGGCGCGCACGGCGCGTTGACGCAGCGCGCACGCCGCGGGGGAGGGGCCGCCTCCTCTTTCCCTTTTTTTTTTTTTCCCCGTTTTTTCCCCGTTTTTCCCCGTTCGAGCGCGCCGCACCGGGGGCACCGCGGGGAGCCTCGCGCCGTGTGCCCGCTCCTTCCACCGCGGGGGGTCCCGGCCCGGGGCTGCTCCCGGAGGGGGTCCCGGCCCGGGGCTGCCCCTCTCGGTGTCGCTCGGTGCGGGCTCCTTCCGTGCCCCTCTCGGGCTCCGGTTCCCGTCCTGACTCTATCGGGATCCGGTTCCTTCCCTGCCGCTCCCGCGGGGGGTCCCGGCCCGGGGCTGCTCCCGGAGGGGTCCCGGCCCGGGGCTGCCCCTCTCGGGGTCGCTCGGTGCGGGCTCCTTCTGTGCCCCTCTCGGGCTCCGGTTCCCGTTCTGACTCTATCGGGATCCGGTTCTTGCCCCTCTCGGTGCCCGCCCTGCCCCTCTCGGGGTCCGGCCCCGGTTCCCGTCCTGCCCCGAGAGGCTCCGGGTCCGGTTCCCGTCAGGGTCCGGTTCTCGGTCTCCCCTCTCCGGGTCCGGTTCTCGGCCTCCCCCCTCCGGGTCCGGTTCTCGGCCTCCCCCCTCCGGGTCCGGTTCTCGGCCTCCCCCCTCCGGGTCCGGTTCTCGGCCTCCCCCCTCCGGGTCCGGTTCTCGGCCTCCCCCCTCCGGGTCCGGTTCTCGGCCTCCCCCCTCCGGGTCCGGTTCTCGGCCTCCCCCCTCCGGGTCCGGTTCTCGGCCTCCCCCCTCCGGGTCCGGTTCTCGGCCTCCCCCCTCCGGGTCCGGTTCTCGGCCTCCCCCCTCCGGGTCCGGTTCTCGGCCTCCCCCCTCCGGGTCCGGTTCTCGGCCTCCCCCCTCCGGGTCCGGTTCTCGGCCTCCCCTCTCCGGGTCCGGTTCCCGGTCTCCCCTCTCCGGGTCCGGTTCCTGTCCTGGTCCCGTTCTCGGTCTCCCCTCTCCGGGTCCGGTTCTCGGTCTCCCCTCTCCGGGTCCGGTTCTCGGTCTCCCCTCTCCGGGTCCGGTTCCTGTCCGGGTCCCGTTCTCGGTCTCCCCTCTCCGGGTCCGGTTCTCGGTCTCCCCTCTCCGGGTCCGGTTCTCGGTCTCCCCTCTCCAGGTCCGGTTCCTGTCGGGGTCCGGTTCTCGGTCTCCGCTCTCCGGGTCCGGTTCTCGGTCTCCCCTCTCCGGGTCCGGGGCGATGCCCGGGGGGCCCGCCGGCGTCCGGTTCTCGGTCTCCCCTCTCCGGGTCCGGTTCTCGGTCTCCCCTCTCCGGGTCCGGTTCCTGTCTGGGTCCGGTTCTCGGTCTCCCCTCTCCGGGTCCGGTTCTCGGTCTCCCCTCTCCGGGTCCGGTTCCCGTCCTGCCCCTCTCGGTGCCCTTGCCGCCGCTCCCGGCCGTGCCGCTGCCCGGTGCCGTCTCTCGGAGCCCCGGGCACGTGGCGCTGGAGCTGCGGGCACCGGGGGCGATGCCCGGGGAGCCCGAGAGCTCGGGCAGCGCCGTGCCCTGCTCCGGGATCCTCACGGCCACCGTGCTTGCTTTGGAATTCTGTTTTTCCCGGGGATTATTCCCGAATTATTCTCAGCCTGGGAAGGTGCAGGTTTGGAGGGGTCCAGAGGCTCTGTGCTGATGGGATACATAAACAAAGTGGTTTTTTGTTTTTTTTTTTTCGGTTTAAATCCTTTAAATCCTCCCAGGGATTCTGGCTTTGGTACCTGCTGAGGGTCAGAGTTTCTGTCCCCTGGCGGGAGGTGTTGTAGGTGAGTTGATGGTAATTAAAGTGTTAATTAAAGCGTCCTCGGGTCTGTCTGAAACGTGCTGGTAGAAGTTTGTGCTTCTGAGCTCCTGCTGGAGCTGGTGGGCTGAGGGAATGAACACCACCAAAATCCTTGGTGCTCCTTCCTCAACGCTTTTAATTGAAATTAATTTAAAATTCCTGCCTTCCCCTTGGCTTTCCTGGCTCAAACCTGATCATCCAGGATCTCCCTGTGCTGGTTCCTAATCCTGGGAGCTGATTTACCTCTGCCTAATCCCACTGACCTGCTGCTCTAGGGATCCTCTTCGTGCTCAGGGGCACAGGAGCTTTGCCATCAGCTCTGCTCCTGGAAGGCTTTTGTTATTCTGCACTCTTGGGGAAAAACGAGGTGGATTTTTGGGAAATCAGGTCCAGAGTGGGAATTGCAGGCTGCTGTAATCCCTGAGAAGCTGTGCAGTGAGGATTTGGGGTTCTGCTCATTGCTGGGGTGGAGGGTGCTGAGTCTCACAGGAATTGTTTGTTCCTGGTGCTGTCGCTGGAAGAGGGCTTGGAAGGAATTACAGATCCCTGGAACTGTCCAGGCCAGGTTGGACAGACCTTGGAGCAGGGATGGTGAAACTGGGACTTTAAAATCCTTCCCAGCCCAAAAATTTGCAGGGTTCTCTGGTTAGAGGGGCCTGGTGAACTCACCTGGATGGGGAGGAAACTTCTGTTTTCTTTTTTTGGATGAATTTCCAAGGGTAGGAAGTTAATTTGTAGAGAATTCTCCAAAGCTAACAGAAAGCTCACATGGTGTCCATCGAGCTTTGCCATCAGCTCTGCTCCTGGAAGGCTTTTGTTATTCTGCACTCTTGGGGAAAAACGAGGTGGATTTTTGGGAAATCAGGTCCAGAGTGGGAATTGCAGGCTGCTGTAATCCCTGAGAAGCTGTGCAGTGAGGATTTGGGGTTCTGCTCATTGCTGGGGCGGAGGGCGCTGAGTCTCACAGGAATTGTTTGTTCCTGGTGCTGTCGCTGGAAGAGGGCTTGGAAGGAATTACAGATCCCTGGAAGTGTCCAGGCCAGGTTGGACAGACCTTGGAGCAGGGATGGTGAAACTGGGACTTTAAAATCCTTCCCAGCCCAAAAATTTGCAGGGTTCTCTGGTTAGAGGGGCCTGGTGAACTCACCTGGATGGGGAGGAAACTTCTGTTTTCTTTTTTTGGATGAATTTCCAAGGGTAGGAAGTTAATTTGTAGAGAATTCTCCAAAGCTAACAGAAAGCTCACATGGTGTCCATCTGTATAGAAACCTTGAGATAAAAAATGCCAATTTAGAAATGCCATATAATAAAATATTGTTGAAAGAGAAATAAGAAGAGAGGTTGGAAGGGATTGCAGCTCCTGGAAGTGTCCAGGGCCAGGTTGGAGCAGGGATTGATGGAACTGATGAGGTTTAATTCCCTCCCAACCCAAACCACTGCAGGGTTCCCTGGTTAGAGGGGCTCACCTGGATGGGGAGGAGCTGCTGTTTTCTTTTTTGGATGAATTTCCAAGTGTAGGAAATGAATTTATAGAGAATTATTCTCCAAACCTAACAGAAAGCTCTCATAGTGTGCATGTGTATAGAAACCTTGAGATAAAAAATGCTAACTTAGAAATGGAATAAACCAGACATTGTTGAAAGAGAAACAAGGAGAGAGGTTGGAAGGGATTGCAGCTCCTGGAAGTGTCCAAGGCCAGGTTGGAGCAGGGATGGTGGAACTGGGTGAACTTTAATTCCCTCCCAACCCAACCCACTGCAGGGTTCCGTGGTTAGAGGGACTGACCTGGGTGGGGAGGAGCTGCTGTTTTCTTTTTTGGATGAATTTCCAAGTGTAGGAAATGAATTTATAGAGAATTATTCTCCAAACCTAACAGAAAGCTCTCATAGTGTGCATGTGTAGAGAAACCTTGAGATAAAAAATGCTAACTTAGAAATGGAATAAACCAGACATTGTAGAAAGATAAATAAGAAGAGAGGTTGGAAGGGATTACAGATCCCTGGAAGTGTCCAGGGCCAGGTTGGAGCAGGGATGGTGGAACTGGATGAACTTTAATTCCCTCCCAACCCAAATCACTGCAGGGTTCCCTGGTTAGAGGGGCTCACCTGGATGGGGAGGAGCTGCTGTTTTCTTTTTTGGGTTAATTTCAAAGTGTGGAAAATTCCAACCCACTGCAGGATTCCCTGCTCAGAGAGACTGACCTGGATGGGAAGAAACTGCTGTTTTCTTTTTTTGGATGAATTCCCAAGAGTGGGAAATGAATCCCCAGGGCCATCTCAAATTCTTCATACCTAACAGAAAGATCTCGTAGTGTGCACCTGTATACAAAGCTTGAGATGAAAAATGCCAATTTAGAAATGCCATGGAATAAACCATTGTTGAAAGAGAAATAAGAGAGGTTGGAAGGGATTGCAGCTCCTGGAAGTGTCCAAGGCCAGGTTGGAGCAGGGATGGTGGAACTGGGTGAACTTTAATTCCCTCCCAACCCAACCCACTGCAGGGTTCCGTGGTTAGAGGGACTGACCTGGGTGGGGAGGAGCTGCTGTTTTCTTTTTTGGATGAATTTTCAAGTGTAGGAAATGAATTTATAAAGAATTCTCCAAACCTAAGAGAAAGCTCACACAGTGTGCATGTGTATAGAAACCTTGAGATAAAAAAATGCTAACTTAGAAATGGAATAAACCAGACATTGTTGAAAGATAAATAAGAAGAGAGGTTGGAAGGGATTACAGATCCCTGGAAGTGTCCAGGGCCAGTTTGGAGCAGGGATGGTGGAACTGGATGAACTTTAATTCCCTCCCAACCCAAATCACTGCAGGGTTCCCTGGTTAGAGGGGCTCACCTGGATGGGGAGGAGCTGCTGTTTTCTTTTTTGGATGAATTTCCAAGTGTGGAAAATGAATTTGTAGAAAATTCTCAAATTCTTCATACCTAACAGAAAGATCTCATAGTGTGCATCTGTATAGAAACCTTGAGATAAAATGCCATATAATAAAATATTGTTGAAAGAGAAATGAGAGGTTGGAAGGGATTGCAGCTCCTGGAAGTGTCCAGGGCCAGGTTGGAGCAGGGATGGTGGAACTGATGAGTTTTAATTCCCTCCCCACCCAACCCACTGCAGAATTCCCTGCTCAGAGGGGCTCACCTGGATGGGGAGGGGGCTGCTGTGCCGATGGATGAATTCCCGAGGGAGGAGCAGCCCCTGGGGCTCGGGAGCAGTGGAGAACACCCAGAGCCAGCCCCTCCTTCCAGCTGCTGTGACACCGGATCCCCCCTCGGAACCGAGTTCCCCTTTTAGCAGCGCTGCCATTTGTGTTGCTAAATTTAAGGTGGTGGCAGTGCTGCAATTCCAAAAGTTGGTTTTGGGGGGAGGGAAGTGCCTAAATCATCCCTTGGAGGTGCCTAAATCACTGCTCCCAGCCCCAGTGCACCCCTGCTGCCCCAGCCCCTCATTATCTCATTTGATATTAATCAAAACCCAGATCAATTTGAATAAATTGATTGGTTTTTAATTGTTTTCAAGGAGGAGGTGGCTGCCCCAGGGGCACCACAGAGGGATCAGTGTCCAAACTTCCAGAGCAGCTTTGGGAGCTCTTGTCCCTGCTCTGTCACTCAGCAGGTTTGGGTCACTCAGGGAGTTACTCCCAAGTGATTTGGAGCAGGAGGTGCAGCCAGAGGCAGGGAGCACAGCTTGGCACCTCGAAGACTTTTCAAAAAGCTTTTTTTTTTGGCTAAAGAGAAACTGAAGAAATTAATCTTGCCAATACTTAGGGCTGCTGGTGCTTCCCCTGCGTTCCTGTGCCAAGGTGCTTTTCTTGCCTTAAATTCTTCCCAAATATCCATTTCTGGCTGGATCCAAAGGCTCCAGCAGAGGTTGAAACCCGTATTAAAATGTTTTAATGGCTGTTGAGATGATCCTGAGCCTCTCACCACGGCTGCAGGGGCAGAACTCACAGTGGATTCGTTTCCCAAGGGAATAAAAGTGGGAAATGTTGGTGTCTCTGTGTTTGTGGCAGCCCTGGCAGGGAGGGGGATGTTGGCTGGAAACAAAAGTATGGGACAGCTGGATTCAACTCCTCCATTGGTCTGAATATTTTTGTTTTTAAAGGATGGATTTTGGAAGTGCCTGTTGGTGTTTGGTAAAGACTTAGAGAGGTCAGAGACCTCCAGGTGCTTGGAGCAGATCTGTAGAAGGACAGTGGAGCTTGGGAAGGGCTGGAGCAGCAGGGGAAGGGCCTGGAGCAGCCCTGCGGGAGCTGGGGAAGCGCTGGAGCAGCAGGAGAAGGGTCTGGAGAATTTCTGAGGGACATGTAGGGGCTCAACCTGGAGAAAAGGAGGCTCAGGGGGGACCTCCTGCCTCCCCACAACTCCCTGACAGGAGAGTGCAGCCAGGTGAGGGCTGGCTCTGCTCCCAGGGGACAAGGACAGGACAAGGGGAAACGACCTCAGCTTGCACCAGGGGAGGATTGTGGTGGAATGTTTCCATGGAAAGGGTGCTCAGGTATTGGAAGGGGCTGCCCAGGGAGGTTTGGGGTCTCCATCCCTGGAGGAAGAGCTGAGTGTGGCACTCAGGGCTCTGGTGGGGACCTGGACTCGATGGTCTTGGAGGGCTTTTCCACCATCAGGGATTCCAAATTCTGTGGAACAAGTGGCAGACCTGGTGGTGCTTGACAGCCTGACAACTCTTGACCACTCTTTCCATGAACAAATCCCTCCTGATGTCCATCCTGGACCTCCCCTGGCACAGCCTGAGGTCATTTCCTCTCACCCTGGTGTTCCCTGGGAGCAGATCCTGACCCTGCTCTTGCCTCAGGGAGTTGTGAAAAAATAGTGGTGTGGAACCCATCCAGTTACAGAGCATTGGCTGTGGGAAGGGAGAGGAAAAAGAAGGGAAAGGGAAGAAGAATTGGAAGAAAAAAGGGGAAAAAGAAGGGGAAGGGAAAGTGAAGAAAAAGGGAGGGGAAGAAAAAGGAGAAGGAGAAGTAAGGGGGAAGGGGAAGAAAAAGGGGGAAAAAGAAGGGGAAGGGGAAGGAGAAGAAAAGGGGAAGGGAAAAAAGAAGGGGAAGCAAAAAGGGGAAAGAAGGGGAAAAAGAAGGGGAAGAGAAAGGAAAGGGGAGGGGAAGAAGAAAGGGGAAGAAGAAGGGAAGGGAAAGGGGAGAAAAAGGGAAAGGAAAAAAAGAAGGGGAAGGAAAAGGGGAAAAAGGAGGGGAAGGGAAAGGGAAGAAGAAGGGGAAGAAAAAAGGGGAAAAAGAAGGGGAAGGGAAAGTGAAGAAAAAGTGAGGGGAAGAAGAAGAAAAGGGGAAGGGAAAAAAGAAGGGGAAGCAAAAAGGGGAAAGAAGGGGAAAAAGAAGGGGAAAGGAAAGGGAAGGGGAAGAAGTAAGGGGAAAAAGAAGGGGAAGAAAAAAGGGGAAAAAGAAGGGAAGGGGAAGGGAAGGAGGAAGAGGAAGGGGAAGAAAAAGGAGGGGAAGAGAAA